TCTCACCCTCCGCTGGTCGGCCCTTCAAGAAATAATTGGCAGGGCGGGACGAGGATCTGCCATGTAGAACCGACAGCACTGAGTCAACTTAATTAGGGGTCAATCGGACTGCAGACGGAACCCTCCCGTCTACTAGAAGGAAATAAAAAAAAAAGCCTTTTCTCCCTCTTGTTATACCCTCTTGTCCCGTCTGATATTCCGGAAAGAATGCCACAGCAGACTGGCGTGTCAGATTTTAGATATGTCCAGCGTCTCACGGCCAGTTCCTTCCTTGTGTCGGGGTTTTTGTACCAAGGAAATGCGTGCATCAATTGACTGTATTATTTCGAAAAACTTGTCTAACCTGATAGGATGGGTTTACACCGTTAGAACCTCAGTAAAGAAAACGTCACGCAGTTTAAACTGACAGACTTAAGTTTTGCAGTTAAAACTGACATCTTGTTAGATTTGCAGAGTATTCCTCAGAGTGAAATGTCAAGCAACATGTAATAAAGAAAAAATTGTTTTCAGAAATGTTTCAAGAATGAGCTGTAGTAAATTTATACAATTTACAATTTTGGATTTCAAAAATGAAAAATTTGTTGTAATTTTACGAATATTTTTTTCACAGTTTTCCCGTCGACTATCTTCAGAAGGCATGGTAACATAATCAGGACAAATTGAAACTTATATAGTTGGTTTGAGCATGTCGTAATTCTTGATCATTTTCTCTTATCCCGATTCAGGTGGAATGAACGATAATCGCGGCTTTTCTGTGTACCTGCCGCTGTGATGGAGGCGGCGGCACCCTCTATCCGGGCGAGCAGAGGGGCCCTTTGCCGGCATCTCCAGGAAAGTGAAATTGGCCCCGAGGCCCCCAATGGTTATGTTTGCAGGCCTCCTCGCCCCGAGCTCAGCCCGAGCTCCGGCAGCATGGGGTGTTTTGCCCAAGTGGACTCGCGCCCTTTTCTTCAGACGGGCGTGAAATCACCCATCCCCGGTGCCTAATGTCCAACTCACTCCCGCTTTAACTAAAGAAGGCATGGAATGAGTAGATTCTGTTAAAATACTTTTTTTTTCGCACGAACTGAACTCTCCTCCCAGGCCAGAGGTCGCGTCCTTTCTTTTTCCGCTGCAGTATACAGTATATGCCTGGAGCGCGTTATCCCTCTCAGCGCCGACACCTGCCTCGGCAGCCTCCGATGATTGATGGCAGATTCCCCTCATTTCGTCCGGCCTAATGGCGCCCTGCCGCGGCCCACACGTCACAGTCGTCACGCGACAGTCACGCGACAGTCACGCGACAGTCACGCGACAGTCACGCGACAGCGCAGCGAGGTCGCCGGATTCGATCTCCTGCTTCCTTCGGACGGGCGGTGGGTCTTTGTGTCTTCTTCTGAATGCCTCTCTCCCTCTCTCTCTCTTTCTCTCTCTCTCTCTCTCTCTCTCTCTCTCTCTCTCTCTCTCTCTCTCGCTCTCTCTCTCCCAACTGCCTGCTCTCCGTCCGACACGCCACTCTACCATCTTTTATCTCCGCCAGACCTTTTTCCACTCGTGTCAG